AAAGATACACCTAAAACATAACAACCACCAAAAGGTAAAAATAAAGAGATGGACAAAGATAAACGATGTGAACACTATAGCATAGATTACAAAAGGGCAAGAGAATGTTATGAAAATATTTATGCCAACACATTTGTAAACTCATAAAAAATAGATATATTCCTAGAAAAATATCTTAGCAAAATTGACTTAAGAACAAACAGGAAGCCTGAAAAGTCTATAACCATAATAAAAAGAACACAACAGGGCCAGATATTTTTATAAACAAGTTCTATAAAATTTAAAAAGTAACTCCATATTTATACAAATTCCTTCCCCAAATAAGATGCTGTATACTCACATGATCAGATTAGTGTAACCTTGATACCAAAACTAAAGAACAGCACAAGAAAGGAAAAGTATGGGGCAATCTCATGCATGAACATTAATACAATAATTCCTAAACAATATACTTGCAAACAAAATCCAGCAATGCGTTAAAATGTAACTCACTATGCACAAACTAGGTTTATTCCAAGAATTCAACAACAATTCATACCTTGTAACTGCCCACGAAAATAGATAAAATGGAAAAAACAATATGATCATCTGAGATAAAGAAAAGACATTTGATAAAAATCAACAACCAAATACGATTTAAAATTAAACTCCTGGCAAATTTTTAAAATCATAAAGACTATAAAGATGACCACTATACTGCTTCTATTAGTTACTGTTCTGGAAGTTCTAAAAACAAAATGAGAAAAAGAAATAAAAGGTGTAAAGATTAGAAAGAATCATAATTGTTACTATTTGCAGATGGTATTATCTTTGTAGATAGCATAAAAGTGTACAAATTACTGGAATTAATTAGAATGTGGCAAAGTGATTCTTATAAGATCACTATACTCAAATCAATTATATTTCTCTATACTGTAACACAGGAAATCCCATTAAAAGGTATATCACTTACAGCAATAAGACAATACAAGGTACACAGAATAAAAACAACAAAAAATATACAAGTCTCTCGTGAAGAAAATTAGAAATGTTACTGAAAAGCATTAAAGGAAACCTAAATAATGCAGAGACAGACAATGTCCCTGGATAGGAAGATACCATTATATAGATTTAAGTTCTCCTCAAACTGATGCATTGATTCAATTCAAATAAAAATTTTTACATGTTTCTTTGTGAACTTGCCCAAGCTAACTCAGAAACCCATGGGAAAAAAGAAAGAACCCCTAAGATACTTCTGAAGAGTAAGACTACGGGAGCTTGATATTAGGAATAGACAAACAAACCAGTCAACAAAGAGGAAAGCTCACATACAGATCTTTACATACACAGAAACTTGATATAACAGTGGTAGCATTGCAGATCAGTGAAAAAAGGAGTATTCAATAAATAGTGTTGAGCCAGTGCTGGTAGCTACTGCACGAGACATTAAGATCTAGATTGTTCAATATTCTTGGCTAATAAGGGCTCTGCCGGCAAACGTATTGATCACTACCAATTTCTGCAATGAGACTCCTTCTCCCCAGTCTTGTGAGCTCCATGGGAGGTATAATGGATAGCTGTCTAGGGGGCTGCAGGTACAACTCCCCTAAGCTATAGGGAAAAAAAGAGAAGAGTAAGTGGATTCCTCCCTTGAGCAAAGCTTGGTGGGAAGGTGTCTCTCCACCTGGCCTCCCCCCCAAGTGTAGCATATGGTGTAGCCAGCAGAAACGACAACTCATGCTACCACCCTCAACAGCTCTCTCTGCATCTCTGCAGAAACTCTTCCCAGCTTCAGATTCATGAGTAGAGATCCTTTTAGGAATGAGGTAGTATTTTTTCTCTAAAAAGGGTCGCATTGCCCCAGCAGTAAATTAACTGATGGAAGAAAGTAGTCTAAGAGAGATGCTTAGTCCTACACTGGTGGTACCACTTTGAGAGGAAGACAAAATAATGGCACTTTAAAAATTCAAAATCTTTGGCTTTTGGATTAAAGTGAATCAAACCTTGTATGGACCTATAGGGCATTATGTTAACTAAAATATGTCAGACAGAGAAAGACAAAGACCATATGATCTCACTTATAATGGAATCTAAAAAGCAAAAGAAACAAACAAACGAACAAAGCATAAACAGACCCATAAAAGCAGAGAACTGGTGGCTGCCAGAGAGAGCGTGAGGGATGGGCAAAATAGGTGAAGGGGGATGGGAGGTAAGGCTTCCAGTTATGGAATATATAGGTCACAGGAATCAAAAGTTCCGGCACAGGGAATACAGTCAAGGATACTGTAATAGTGTTGTCTGGTGACAGATGGGAGCTATACTTGTGGTGAGCACAGCATAATGCACAGAGTTGTCATATCACTATGCTGTACACCTGAAACTAGTGTAACATTGTGTGTCAGATAAACTTCAATTAAAAAATAAATAAAATAAAGTGAATGACACCCAACTTACAGGGTTCTAAAGTGTCTATAACAATCTTCCTGTAGGGGCCCCTGCGTGGCTCAGTTGGTTAAGTGTCCAACTCTTGATTTTGGCTCAGGTCATGATCTCAGAGTCCTGAGATCGAGCCCTGAGATCAAGTCCACGTTGAGCATGGAGGCTGCTTAAGATTCTCTCTCTTCCAGGGCGCCTGGGTGGCTCAGTCATTAAGTCTGCCTTCGGCTCAGATCATGATCCCAGGGTCCTGGGATCGAGCCCAGCATCGGGCTCCCTGCTCAGCGGAAAGCCTGCTTCTCCCTCTCCCTCTCCCACTCCCCCTGCTTGTGTTCCCTTTCTCACTGTGTCTCTCTCTGTCAAATAAATAAATAAAATCTTTAAAAAAAAAAAAAAGATTCTCTTTCCCTCTGCCCCTCCCCCTCTCAAAAAAACCAACCCACACTCTTCCTGTATATAACAATCTTCCAAATGTTCCATTAAACCACGAAATTCAGCAAATATTCAATATGTATGCTAAATTAAAACTGTAGCCTCTAAATGGATGCAACTTCAGAAAGAAGAATATATATGCTAATAATTGGGTAAAAAGATACCTGTTCCTTATGAAAACAATAACAATTTGTAATTATTCAACTTTTATATTTTTTAAGTAGTCTTTACAACTGCTAAATTATAATACTATATTCCACTTGTGTAAAAAGTCACCACTGTATTCTCCAAATTCTCCACCAATTCTAATATACCCTCTAAGATAAGAGATTCAATGACAGTTTTAGTCTCTGATGCCTTGAATAATCCCCAAAGCATTCTTTTTTACTTAGTTTATTGGATTGGAAAAGAATGCACAGAAGAGGCAGAGTGGCCTATGCAGAAAAAGTTTTGGAGAAGACATGTTTAGGTAAGTGCCACATATCAGGTGGACCTTATTTATACTTCTGGGTCTCCATTTTCTCATTTGTAAAATAAGTATGGTATTATCTGTCTTGCACATTATTAAAAGGATCAGTTACACACACAGGGATGAATAGTGTCCCCCCAAAATTCCTGTCTATTTGGAATCTGTCAGTGTGACCTTATTTGGAAAAAGGTCTTGTAGGTGGAATCAAGTTAAGATGAGGTCATACTGAATGTGTCTGGGCCCTATATCCAATGACTGGTGTCTTTATGAGAAGGGCATGTGAAGACAGAGACACAGGAATGGCCCTATGACAATGGAGGCAGAGATTAAAATGATGCTGCTATAAGCCAAGGAATGCCAAGGAGTGTTGGCAACCATCAGCAGCTAGTAAGAGGCAAGGAAGAATTCTCCCCTAGGGTCTTCAGAGAGAACGTGGCCCAGTCAAATCCTTGATTTCAGATTTCTAGCCTCTGGAACTGTGAGAGAATACATTTCTGCCCTTAGTCACCCAGTGTGTGGTACTTTGTTTCAGAGGCCATAAGATTCCCAAAACAGAAATGAAGCATTTGGCTTACCCCCCCCACACAGAGAAAACATACCGCAGCATTTTGTTCTGGCTGAATAACAACAGCCAGATTCTGATCCTGTTTGACATGCAATCTCCAAGAACACATTCTAACAGTGTTGTAGTTAGGGATCACGTTTACACAGTTGACCACAACTCAATTGAAACAGGCTTTAAAAAGGTGTGGAGGTGGGGTGAGGTGAGGAAGTGAGAGAGGAAATGAGGGGGAGTAGGAGAGTGGCGGTATTAGTGGATCTGAATTTCCCACACAGATGCAGCCAGACCTCTGGAGTTCCTGAAGGCAGGTCTTACCACCTGGTTCCTCATTTTACTCTTCCTGTGTATTAACATCATTCTTTTCTCCAACTATAGTCTATCTTTACCTGGCAGGTGAAAACATGACTGCCAGGAGCTCCCAAATTTTATCTTTTACAGAGTTTGTCCCCAAAGAAAGACTGCCTCCATTTTCTGGATCCCCAAGTCCAAAAAGCCCAGGGAAACACTGAATAGCCTGAGCTGGGTCAGCTTCCATTCCTGAACTACCTGTTGCTGCTCCTTGGCTGGGCAGGTACCAGAGGGAGGGATGGATGGAGACAATCTACCCAAGGGACAGCTCTAGTTTCCTTCCTTGATAAAGAAGTCATTTCACTTTTGTTCTTTTACCCCTAATTCTGACTAAAATGCTAAACTGAAGTGAGCAACCAGAGATAGAGAAGTTAATTTTAAAGGCAGATTCAAATACAATTTGAAGAATAAGAAGTAGTCATAGATACATCATCAAGAAATGCAATACACTGATAAAGAACTTTAGTGAAGAGCCAATAAGCACATGAACCAGATGCTTTATGTAAGTTTAAATTTTCCTAGCTGGAATTAATTGAAACACAATTTCCCCTATTTAAAAGAATAAAAGAGAATATAAGAAACTAAACTGCCACTTGAAGATGTAGTTTAAAGAAATTCTTATCTTTTGGTAGTAGAGGAACTATATTTCACCAGCAATAAACATTTGACTGCCCTGTGTGGGCAGGGCACTGAGGTGCCACGAGATTGTTTCCAGAGATAATTCAACTCAATATTCAACTTTTAACTTTCTTAGAAATATAAATGATCACTTACCATGGTACTGGGGTCTCTATCAGCTCGATTTAGTTCAAAAGAATTTATTTTATGGGCACTCATTTCATCAGTATCAGCAATGATATAATGTCTAGGAGAGTAAGCATTGGACAGGTTCTCAAGCAGCCTCAGAATCTCAGTGGTGTGCCCACCTGGAAAAAATATTGGAAGGCCTAAGATTAAGAAGCCCACAGTGTGGTTACCAGAGGGGAGGTGGGTGAGGGGATGGGGGAAATAGGTGATGGGGATTAAGGAGTGCACTTGTTGTCATGAGCACCTGGTGTTGTATGGTATAGTGTTCAATCACTACATTGTACACCTGAAACTAATATTACACTGTGTTAACTAACTGGAATTTAAATAAAAACTTAAAAAAAAAGAAACCCCCAATGGCCATATCTATTTGACTGTGTTATACTAATGTTATGTTTTATGTATTTCTCAATAGGTGAAAGGAGCATTTGGAAACAATAATCTATGCCCTTGAATAAATACTACTTTTATATGGGGGAAGAGGATAATAACTTTATAAAACTAAAATTGGCACTAGCAGTAGGTGTTAAGGAAGGCACAAAGAAGTATAAGACACAACTCCTGTTATCAAGAAGCCTGGTGAAAAGGGGAAAGACACACAGACATTTAAAGAGTCATGCAAGACAGCATGAAAAACTTAAATGGGGGCAGAGGTGAGGCAAGCAAATGGTTATGAAAGACCAACCCTGTAAGAGGAAGGGAGATCCCTGGTAAAGGCTGAGAGGACTTGAAAGGTAAAGCTAATGGACAGATAAGAATAGGGAGGCCACTGGCCAAGAGTGGGATTATTAGGACATGAGATGGCAAGAGCTGAGATGTGTGTTCAGGGAATGGTGGGAACACTGTGAAGGAGGGTGAAATCAGATCAGGAAAGTAGCCTGGAAAATGGAAAGACGGTCACTGGGTCACTGAAGGTTTCTGTGCTGAGAAGTAATGTCAATGAGGCATGAGCACTGACCCACAGGACTTGGGGCTTCCTAAGGAAGCCTACTGTTCAGCACTGTAACCCCAGCTCCTGAGAGAGGTCTCAGCATACTACAGGTCGTCAAATATTTACCAGCTTCACCAAAAAACTGTTCAATTTTTGAAACTGTACAATCTCCAAAATTTTAATACTTCTAATTTCAAAACTATGAATTTAAAAATCGACTGTGTACACTGAGGTTTCCTCCATGGGAAAAAAAAACACCAAAGAATATCAACCTCTCATGTAAACTATATAGCATTTAAAGCAAAGCAATCAAACTTCTCTGAGCCCTATCATACCCATTTCGTTTCACTTCATACTCTCTCAGCCTCAGCCAGGTTGATGTCCTTAACATTCTTTGTATTCATCTTATTTGTTACCTCCTCCTTGCCTCTGGTCACAGTGTCCCTCCTATCTACTAAACTCTCCCCCACCAACAACTGTTGTTAGAAAGCGCTTTCAGTAGTAATACAGTGAACATATAGAAGGATAATCAAACAAATTAAGCGTGTGGTTTCTGCCAATGCACATATTTTCTTATAGTAGAAAAGGAAGGATTACTCTCTAGGTTCCAGAAGGAATTAGATATAGAAATAAAATTGGCATAGATTATGTGTAATCATACTTTATAACTTGTCACCCATCTTCTTGTCTGGGGCATGTAATTTACACATCTGATTTATACTCATTTTGGTATTTTTGTTTTTAGCCTTGAGAAAATGTGGTTTGCAAAGTAGGTACTTGTTTTCACAGCTGGACCAATTAAGGATAAAAAGGATAATATCCACATCCCCACTGAAATTAAAGCTTCATTATACCTGCTTTAACAGTCTTCTCTTTTTTTAAAAAGGAAACATTTACTGAATACATTCTTTAAAGATTTAACCTTGCCACGGAATAAAGTCATTAAAATGATGGGCTTTGTCTTCCATTTTACTCTTTTATTAAGACATATTCTTTGGAAACAAAATCTTCTCAGTTTTACTTAAAATATATCCAGAATCCAATCTCCCCCCCGCTTCCCCCCCCCCATCTCCTTTGCTATTACCCTGTTCCAAGCCACATCACCCTCACATCAATTATGACCACGATTTCCTGGTCTGCTCCCCCAGCTCCGCTTGTCCATTCAAGTGTCTACATCAGTCTATTCTCAACACAGCATCCAGTGTGATCCTGTTAGAGAGAGTTGATCAATTTACCTCTGCTCAAAACCCTCCAGTGGCTTCCCTTTTCACATGCAATAAAAGGCATCTTATAATTTGACCCCTTACTTTGTTACCTCATAGACCTCTTCTGCTTCTACCTGGCTTAAGTCTATTCCAGCCACTCTGGCCTCCTTGCTGTTGTTGGGTATCTGTCATCTCCCCTGGGAGCTTTTCCTTACAATTCTGTCTAAAATGCAACCTCCTTCCCCTACCTCATAATATTTATCACCATATAATTTAATATGCAGTCTATTTATTTCTTTTGTTTTTGTCTCCCCTAACCCTTGCTCCACTAGAAGGTAAACTAGATGATGGCAGGGACTTCTGTTCATTTTGTTACTGCCGATCTTCAGTGCCTTGAAAACAGTAGGCACTCCTATAATTGAATGAATGGGTAGATGAGCATTTGGTATTAAATCTAAAATTTGCCTAAGGAAATCATATGATATTTCAAAGAAAAGTAGTAATTTTAATTGATGTTCTTTGAAAATATGTGGTTGATTAATCATATTTTATGGAATCTAAAGATTAGACATTTTTTGGTATTCACGGTAAACACTGAAAAATGCCTTCCCCCTCCTCCAAAATTCTGGCCATGAACTATTAAACTATTTGTCTGATTACAAGTCTTCCTTTGACTTGGAAGATTCTTTGAGGTCCTTGACCTCTCCCTACCCTGAATGGTTTGAATGACAAAGGCACCACTTGCCAGACTAATTCTCAATCTTAATTTTGGTTCCCAGTCCACCAAATCTAATACTGTCAAGTGAATGGCTCTAACATCCATTCATCTATTTGTTCAAGACAGAAACCTGGACATCATTCCTGAGCCTTTCCTTCCTTCATCCCCCGCTTTCAAACCGCCAAGTTCCTACTTGTTTCCCTACCTCAGTCTTTGTCAAAACATTCTCTTGACAATGCTGGCTGGATGATCTTTGTAAAAAGTTTATATTTAATTGGGTCACTCTCCACTCAAAAGTATTTTAAAAGATCCTTTGCTACCAGGACTAACAACAATCACCATTTATTAAATGCTTATTATATGCCAAGCACTTTGCTAAACACTTTTAATATTACATTTAATCTCTCCTCTTCTCATCCCATATTTTTCAAGGTGGAAACAGAAAGTTCAGTGAGGTTAACTAATTTGCCCAAGATCACCAGGTCAGTAAGTGGCAAAGATGTGATTCAACTCCAGGATTATGTCAATCTAGGGCCTGTGGTCCTAACCCCTACACGGTATAAAGCAGTGGAGTAGTGCCAATAATAGCTTTATAGAGCGTGGTTTACAACGCCCTTTGGGATCTGCACTGGGCTTACCGCGCCACGTGGAACTCAAAGCAACAGTGCCCTCCCACCTCTGGCCATTCCAAGTGCTATCAACTTCTTTTCACACCTTCCCAGTCCTCAAAGCCTCTTTGGTTCTTTCCTGGTCATCTTTCAAGTCTCAGTTTAGACACCACTTGTTCCAAGAATTTTCCTGTCTCAAGTTCAGATAAAACGGCGCCCTTCCTGAAGACTGCCATCGCAGCCTATACCTCCCAGATTATAACAAGCACACATTTTGTTTTGTTTTTTGTTTTCTGTTAGTTTTTCTATAATCTCCTTTTCATTCACTGCTGTATCCTTGTACCTTTCACACTGCTTAACTGCCTAGTCACCACTCTGTGGCAAGTAGTAGTAGTAGTCAGTTTTGTTATTTCCAGAGCTTAGCATAGTGCCTGGATTCCCCAAAGGCTCAACATATGTTAACTGAAAAAGTAACGAGTTACACTTGAACACCAGTTTAGAACATTTGCTCATACTGTCAGTATTATTCTAACTGGATACAATCTCCTAGCATTTCTAAGTGTACACGTCAGAACTTTTTGTGAGGGCCTGCAGAGCTGGCAGACTGTTAAATTGTATTACCTGATAGGGCAGCTTGTTGTTCATATGCTGACACAATATTCGGAAATGTGTATTGTTCTGTGGTCAGTAGATAATTGTTTCTAACCTCATGGATTTGTATATTTATAAATGTGACAATTCACTTTGCCTCATTTATCATCTAGTATTCGTGATTCCTAACCTAAATACAAAATGCCTAGATTAATGATGCAAAACAGCTATTTTTAATCAGGAAAATTGTAAGTTAGCAACATAAGGCTTCTGCGTCCTCTCTGCTTAATAATAATTTGTTAGAATAATATACGCTACGTGGAAGCTTAATTACAGACAAGTGTAAGTTACTCATTTGTCCTTAAAAGATGCTTGGGCCGCGTCAGCAAACCAGGATTTCGCCCCTGGGCTGACCGGTTCCGGTTAACACAAAGAAACTACAAATCTCAGCATGCAATGCTCCAAAAAGTACTAAGGAGACTAGAGGAGAGAGTCGCGGTGTACTCTGGGGTTTGTAGTGACCGGCCCAGGCTCGACAGTCACCGCCTCAATACTTACCGGACCCAGCCACCACCAAGAGACTGAGAGACTGACGGGGCACCAGGACCTGAGAATGGAGCACTACCCACAGCCGCAGTGCCAGCAGCGCGGCCACCGCAGCTCCCGCCGCCGCTAGGATAAGGACGCTAGCCATGCAAAGAAACGACGCATGCGTATTATCCCCCCGCGCCGCCGCTCAGAAGCAGTCAAAGTTCAAGAAGTACGGGCTCTGCGGAGACGCAAACGGGGCGTGTCGAGCCTCTTGGTGGGCGGGGCTTGTCTGCGCCAGGAGAAGTTCAGGGCGGGAGGCGGAAGTGCTGGCTCTGGGCACTTTGGTGGCTTCCCTACCGGATTCCATGTGGCTGCCTCCCAAGCATAAACTGAAATTCGGCAAGTTAAACGCAGGACAAGTGTGATTTCCACCCGTGACGAGGTCAGGCCACCTGTGCACCCCAAAGGCTCCGGAGCTCCCAAGTTAGGAGGGGTTCCCGCGCCACTAACTTTGTGAATTCCACCTGAGGCCAATAGCATATATCGCCTTTTTTCTTCCTTCCTTCCTTCCTTCCTTCCTTTCTTTTTTCCTTTTCTTTCTCTTTCCCTTTTCTTTTCTTCCTTTTTCTTTTTTTTTTTAAAGATTTTATTTATTTATTTGACAGAGAGAGGCACAGTGAGAGAGGGAACACAAGTAGGGGGAGTGGGAGAGGGAGAAGCAGACACCCTGCCAAGCAGGGAGCCCGATGCGGGGCTCGATCCCAGGACCCTGGGATCATGACCTGAGCCGAAGGCAGACGCTTAACGACTGAGCCACCCAGGCGCCCCCTTTCCTTCCTTTTTCAATGCCAAGGGAAAAGTTTCTGTTGCAACATGAAGACAGTACTGTGCTTGCCAGTAAAAGTTACCTTCATACAAAAAAGTAAATTTAGGGCCCTCATCAAAATCTCTTTCCCGACACTCGTGTTTTTAACTTTTATAGGCATTTTCACAGATCTGTGCGATCAGAGTGGCCGAGGGTGATCACCTCCAATTATGCCATGATCCTTAGAGGAGTGGAAGCTCAGTGACTCAAGGTAGCAGGATAGAGAAGGCAGCGTCCTACAATTAATATTCAGTTAATTTTACTACAAAGCCAACACCTCCCCTAATCCCAGTTTTGCTTATATTCTGTTGCCTGTGTAATCCACATTGCAGCAATATAAAAATACTGAGATTACAGAAGTCCCCTCACCCCAAGTGTAATTTGCCATCAGTCCCGTACAGACTGTAGGTTAGACAGCGCAAGTATATAGATGAATAAACAGGTCCTGAAAGATGAAACAACTTGCTCACTTGAAATAGTGGCAGATCTAGATTTAGAAACCAGAAATCCTAACTCTGGCATAGGAGTATTACATTTTGTATTCCTTTGCTAAGTTCAGACTTACTTGATTATCACACTTGCCTAGAGCTTAGAATGTGTCTTTTAAAATGCAGTCTCTCAGGAGAGGCCTGGGATCAGGTTATTTAACCAATGTGTCAGTTTCTATCAGCAGTCAAGTTTGGGAAGCATTTAGGGACCTAGCGTCATTTTCTGGTTAATGGATCTCATAGCGCTTCCCATATTCAGTCTCCCATTCAAATCGTCTTAACCCTACATCCTCACAATAAGGCCAAAAGGTGAATATTATTTCCCTCTTTAAGGACAAAGACACAGATTCTATAAAAGTAATATAGTTTGCCTAAGATTTCTTAGCTAGGAAGTGGTGGAGGAAGTTTATAGTTGTGGGCATAGAATTCAGTGCCTCAGATTTTGATGAAATCAGAATCCCCTGGGCTTATAAATACATAGTTCAAAGTCCAGGGATAGGGCCTCTGGCACAGTATAAAAAACAACTTAAGTATATTACAAAGGATGTAGTTTTCTTTCATCTGCCCACTCTGCCATTCCCAGCAATGGCTTCAACCTAAAACTCTCCCCTCATACTTCAAAGAAGATGTTAGCGTCTCAGAAATTACATCCAGATGAGGAAATTTCCGGAGCCAAAAAAGGACATTATCTTGTCATTGGGTCTTTCTTTTTAAGGGTGAGGAAACTTTTTCCCCGAACCCCTCACAGACTTTCTTTCACACTCTCTGGCTATATTTATATCACTTACTTATTCATAAAAGGAATGAGACCTCAAAGCTGGCTGGGGTAGGGTGGAGCATGGCATACAGCTCCCTGTTGTATCTGGTTATTTGGTGGAGGGTGGGTACTGACCACAAAGGTCTCTTGGTGAAGGAAGTTGGAGGAGGGTAGAGGAGAGATGATTGTTGCTTAGGCAAATAATAGTGTTTGGATTGCTGTGAAAATATTGTGTCCCAGATGGCTTTGTAACCTGACACAGGCAATGTAGATTGCAAGCATATTAATAATTACTAGACTGCAGGTCTCGGAAGACACTCTTACATTCTCCTTTACCCCATCGCCTCACTTCAATAATTACTTGTATCTGTAGGAAATACCCTCTTGATCGCATTGGCATGCAGCTGAATGAATGGGGCTGATCAAGCATTTAGGGCTGCCAGTAAATGCAGTGAATTAAAGAGGGAGGAGGAGCAGACATTGTTTAGAATTATTGGTAGAGTTATTTTGAATTAAGGCCAGGGTCAAACCATTCAGTGTTTCTGACAAGGAAGTTGAGTGTAGAGAGGAGCTAGGTGGCAGGCTGGGAGAGGAACAAAGTTGGGAACTCCTAACAAAATGTCTATTAGTCTGTGACAGGCACAAAATGTGTAGGTAATCAGAGGTCAAGAAGCTGTACTGGATTAATCAGGAAAGGCAAGGCTGAGTGATAAGAAGCGGCAACTAAAATTTCTCTTGGGGATTAAATTGCACTGACAACACAGATTACAAATGCATGGAAGTAAATTATAGTGCTGTGAGAGCATGAAAAATGTATTAATAATTGACAAAATGAGTAATGATATTGAGCCATAGCCAATTGTAAGTAATCTGTCTGGGAAGTGATTTTTATTATCTTCTTAAATCTATTTTCCAAGCTTTTATGGCAGATATCTATTATTCATGAATGTTAAAAAAGTTAAAATTATTTTGCACTATTCAGTAGGATTGTGCTTGTTCATTTATTTAACATATTTAATGAGCACCTGCTATGTGCTAGATTTAGGTACAGGAGATCTCGTATGAATAGGACAATAGCCCAGACAAGAAACTTAGACTAGAAAGATGATAGTGGAGAGAGAAGAGGGTTTGGAAGGAAGATTTGAGATACATTTTATGGATAGAGTTGTTAAGACTCATTGATGGATTAGATATTGGGGATCAAGATGGCTCCTAGAGTTTTGGCTTCAAAACTGGTTGGATGGTGTCATTTGCTAAGAATAGATGGACAGGAAGAGAAACAGGCTTTTGTGGGTAGACACAGGGGAGGAGAGGATGAAAATGAAGTGTTCTGTTTTGGATGTTAGTTTGACTAGCCTGTTAGATATCTAAGTGATATGTCAAATAGGTAGTTTCATGTACAAATCTGAAGCTTGGGTCAGAGCTAGAGTTATAAATTTAGAAGTCAGCATATACATGGTACTGAAAGCCATGAGACTGGGTGAGATCACCTAGGGAGGAGTCTAGGTCAATCCCGTGCAATAGAACTTTCTGCAACAATGTGAAGGTTTTATGGCCATGTTGCTCACTATCTACATGTGTCTATTGAGCACTTGAAATGTGGGTAGTGCGATTGAGGAACTAAATCTTAATTTTACTTCATTTAAATTATTTTAAATTTAAATAGACACATGTGGCTAGTGGCTACTCTATTGGACAGCTCAGGATTGAGAAGAATATGGGGTCATTAACATTTAGCGGTCTAGTAAGGGAGATTTAGCCAGCAAGGAAGATAGAGAAGGGCAAGCCAGGGAGATAGAAGGACAATCAGGAAAGAGTGGTGGCCACAAAAACCAAGAGAGGAAAATGATTCAAGAATGGGAGTGTGGTCAGCTATGTCACATGCTGTTCATAGTTGGGATCAGATGACTTGAAAACAAATTCATCACTGAGGAGTTAAGTGAGAGCAGCATTTCCATGGAATGGTGGTTGTAGAAGGCAGTTGGAAATGGGCAGAAGAGAGAATGGGAGATGAAGAAAAGCAGTGTCTATAGACAATTATTTCAAGTTTTTCTTTGAAGGGGAATGGAGAAATTAGATGAGAAATGAAGGAGAATTTGGAATTGAGGAAACTTATTTTTTGAGATGGGAGTTACTGGACATATTAATTTGAATTTTAAAATGATCCAGTGGAGGAAAATTGATACAGGAGAGAAAGGGAATGAGAGAGTAGGAACAAAGTTCTTCAAAAGATGAGGGTTGGAATATACAACACAAGTGGAGGGGTTGGGCTTTGATAGGAGGAGGGACCCTTATCCCATGGTAACAGGATATAAGGCAGGGATATAATGCAGGTGCTGGGAGGTTTACAGAATTGGTGGTGAATAGATGAGGGGAGGGTTTGGGGATATGGGGTACAGAGTGTGAGAGGCTTGAGGAGAAAGAAGTTAGGAAATAATCATCTTGAAAAGTAATTGGCATATTCACCAGGATCGGCGTAGGATTTCTGGGCAGTTTGGAATGCCCATTTGAAGCATGTGATAACAAATTTAGAGAGAAACCATTCAGCATAATTTTATGTCTTTTTCCCCACTGGAAAAGGCAGATAGTTGGCTTTAACCAAAGTTAGATTTTTGACAGGTGAATACATTAGCGAGGTAAGATTCTTAAGGGAGCAAGGTCCATGGAACTTTCTCTGGGCATAGTGGGAAGTGAAGACAGGAGGGTAAAGGTAGGAGAGTGGAAATAGTGGCAGAGTGTAAAGTCAGGGGATTGGAAGCCTAAAGAAGGTTGAAAAATTGCAATGAAAGAACTAGAGCCAGTGAACTGTAGAGATAAGAGGTGGTGGTCAGAGGGTGGGATGCTTGAAGTCAATATTGTGTTATTACTGATAGTAGTTTTTAGGGTGTCACTCTAAGAATGGATCAAAAAGATGCAGGGGCCACCACATGAATGCCAAAGTCACTAAGGGGTGGAGAGGAAGATGAGCTCAAGTTTTCAAAAAGTAAAAGTTTGGAAGATGATAGCAACCAAAAAGAACTTTGGGTACAAGCAGGATATCTTCCGTTTGTCCCTCAAGATTCACGCTTCCCCACCCCACCCAGCCATGGGAGCTGAAACCTATGGATTCAATCAGCAGTTTCCTTGCTGTCTTGTTCTGGTTGGGTTTGGCCAATGGGGAGCCTCAGCAGATCTGATGTAGGGAGGCTGTGTCCCTGAATGGGGGGGAGGGGGAGGACTCTGCTCTTCAACATGGCTTCTATACCTCTCTGTCCTGGGCCCCAGAGCTCCCTTTCCTCATTCCTTCAGGCCAAGGGGTGGTGAAAGTTCCACTGTTACTAGCCCTCAGTGACTGCACTATCCCTCGTGCCTTCCTTCCCTCATTCACACCTCTGTAAATCATCCCTTTATTAAATCATCCTCAACTTAATGTAAGTGCGCCATCTATATCCTGTTGGGGTGGTACAACTGCATGACAGGAACTTCAAAGGAGCTAGAGTTTTTAAAAGAAGGAGAAATGGTTTGGAAGCAGTGATGTGGATCAAGAGTTTCCCCACCTTCTGTGGGTGTGTGAGAAACAAATGGCCTCCATTTGAGAGACATATTGAGGAGCAAGTCTTCAGCTTCTACAGGGAAGTGGAGAAGTCATTCAAAAAGAAGTTGAAGATATAAGGGAGGTTTGCAGGTGACAGATTAGGAGGTCCAAAGTATGCTGTGAAGGGTTTGAAGGGTGGTGAGGAATGGGAGTTGGGTCAGATTGGGGGAATTTAAAAGTAACCATGGAGATAAGAATCAGGATGGTAATAGCTAATCTGGGAGGCTTTCTGGGGCTTGGAGTAAATAGGGATGAGGGCAGGCTCTCAATTCATTTCAGTTCAGTTCTATGAGTACCTAATATGTGCAGCTCACTGGGCTAGGTACTGGGATACAGTGGTAAGGCAGTAACAGTTAATACCCAAGCAGTGACTCAACAATGAGCCTGACTGTGTGAACTGCATACCTCTTAACAGGGCCTCCTAGAGAAAAGCCACCCAACCCATGCTTTCATGGGCTGCTTTGGAGTATGGGCCACTAGGGACCCTGGCATGTAGGCCCCTCCTCAGCAGAGGTCAACAATCTTCAGTCCTAATGAAGGTGGTAAAGTACAGATAAAGACTGAAGCTCTTCTGCAAGAGCCAAGAACACCACTTTGGTCAGCATTATGTGTGCCCGTGACAAGGTAAAGCTGGAAGGGAGTTCTTAGTCTGGGCCATAGACAGAGCTGTGGCCACCAGGACTGATGGTTGTATGCCTTACCATCAAAGATCTTCTGGATGGTGTGGTAGGATAGGTGACAGAAATTGTCCCAGTACAATCCAAATCCATAGACAAGACTTTTTTTCCTCGTCAAATATACTAATGTATGTTTAAGTTGCAACCTTTTCCTGGATGAAGCCACTTGCTAGGATTCCTTGAATGCTAACCCTTGAAGGCTAAGGCCATTGTTAATATTTAATTGGCATTTACTGTGCGCTTACTGTATGCCAGGCACTGAGAACGTGAATTAACTAATTCTCACAATAACTCTAATGAGGTAGGCATTATAATGATCCCATTTTACAAATGAAGATACTAAGGTACAGAGAGGTCATTTGCTCTGGGTCAGAAAGCCAGGAATTGGCAGTCAGGATTCCAAAAAGCTCATACTCTTCCCTTCCACAGTATCATTAAAAGAATTTATCATATATTTATATCAGCTGTTATGCTATATATTATTTTTTTTAAAGATTTTGTTTATTTATTTGACACAGAGAGAGAGAGAATGAGAGAGAGCACGTGCACAAGCAGGGAGAGTTGCAGAGGGAGAAGCAGGCTCCTGGCTGAGCAGGGAGCCCGATGTGGGACTTGATCCCAGGACCTTGGGATCATGACCTGACCCGAAGGCAGATGCTAAATGACTGAGCCACCCAGGCACCCTGTTATGCTATCTATTAAGGAAAGAAAGATAGAAATCTACTTTACTATGACTGACTTTTCCTTTATAAAATTAGAGCTAAATAGGAGGCAAAGGATTTTTTAAAAAGTGACCTTTTCAGGGGCACTTGCCTGGCTCAGTTGGTAGAGCACATGACTCTTGATCTAGGGCGTTGTGAGTTCAAGCTCCATGTTGGGTGTAAAGCCTACCAAAAAAAAAAAAAAAAAAAGTGGGTTTTTCATATTCCAGTTAAGAATTGCTTTTCTGTTTTCTAGCTTCTTCTCCAAGTGCATTCCAAAAGGATACTAGATTAAATAGGCATGTCTGTTTGTCTGTCTGTCTGTCTCTCTGTATATAATAACTCTTGATTCATGCCTTGTTTAAGATAAATTTGCAGTGAAATTAACTAGACATTAATTTTATTCTCTTACTTTATGCTCATTTATTGCAGGTATATCTTTCCAGATATGTTTATAAATTCAGCTCCAGCCCTCTACACACACAAAATGCCTTATCAGTTCCAAATTTAGCAAGACAGTAAAATCTTATTTAAAAATACATTCCCAGACTATCACGGTAAGTATCACGCCACGTCATACTGTTCACTAATGACAACCACAACAATAATGGCTCCTTTAAGTTTCAGTTACCGTATTTTCAGTGTTAGACCTATAAGTAAAGTCAGAAACAATTCTATTTCTGCACTAAACACTGCTTGTCTTTGAAGTCTTGCAAATTTATTTTCTTCTCATCCCAACCCTCCCTCCCTGCAGAGCCTCTGCCTGGCACACCTATCAGGTCTGCCTTTTCCTCACTGTATACCTGCGCTTTCTACCCTGTCTTTCCCAAATCCTTTTTTGCTGCCACAGAACTCTTTGTCCTTGGTAGAAACACACAGATTATACCTTCTCTCTTCTCTGACTATACATTGTTCCTGTGAAATTCACATGTGTGATAAAACATGCAGACTGCCATTCAGTAGGCATTCATAAACTTTCTCAACCACCTCTCACAGCCTCCTATGAACTTAAGTACTATTATTATCCCCATTTTGTAGGTGAGGAAGTTGAGGCTTTACCACGCTAACTCATCACTACTGCTGCTTTGATTGGACTTCCTGTGGATGTACTGTGGCCATCTAGTGGCCTCAGGAATATGGTGATGTTACCTAGGGAAGGTACTTACTGCAGAAAACATCATACCTTAAGAAGAGGATAAGAATGAAATATACAGATGTGCTACTTAAAGGTTAGTGTTATTTTCTCCTGCAAGTGTTGTGTAAATAGTATATGACTACATTTCACCACAGCAGGTAAATAACTCTTGCTGTGCCCTTTAACCTGGTTTCTTTTTTTTTTTTTTTTAAAGATTTTATTTATTTATTTGACAGAGAGAGACACAGCGAGAGAGGGGACACAAGCAGGGGGAGTGGGAAAGGGAGAAGCAGGCTTCCCATGGAGCAGGGAGCCCGATGCGGGGCTTGATCCCAGGACCCTGGGATCATGACCTGAGCTGAAGGCAGATGCTCAACAACTGAGCCACCCAGGCGCCCTAACCTGGTTTCTTATCAGCTTCTGCAAGCTTTATTTAATAGCCTGTTCATCTTTCATCAACGTTAGGTGCCCTCTTTATTGTGAATCCCTTCTCAATTTGTTACAAACAGGCTTGTTAATTTACCAACAACAGTTTTTGATAGAAATCTCAAATGACTTAGCTTTTTCCCAAACTTAAGCTTCCCTTCTCCACACCAGTACTCCAGTGGGATCTTTGCTGGTTATATTTGTTTTGGAGTAAGTTAAAAGACAACTTAAATGAACCTGAGAAAGTCTTATCACTTTGTAATACTTGATGAATATTTACCTAGGAAACTGTGGAATGCCTGCGTCTTAACTTAGAAATTTAAAAGAATCTCTAAATTTTCCTTTCTGAATAGGTGCTATACACTAAACAAAACCTCTTATGGTCAGTGTCCTCCATCAATTATGTCCCCTCTTTCCTGAGTCTCTAACCACTGACTCTTGCCATGTCTTTATCCTTAGCCTATAATGCTCAAGTCTCCCCCATTAAAAAATAAAAGCAAAGTCAATAAAACCCTCCATCAGTCTGGCTCAGCATAACTCCTTTAAACTACCAGCCCAACCACATGAAAACGGCACTCCAGTCTTCAACCACACCTTTATGCTTTTGCCAGAGTGTTTTTCCATTCCCAATCTATTTTTATGCAACTGGGCTGTTTCATGAAGCCTTCTGGTGAGCATGGAGCAAAGTTCTATTTCAAGTGTTGAGAGGTGGTCATCTGAGCGGGTAGCCAGGCAGCCGATTCTTGGTGGACTCCTAACATATGGAGGTTCCTCTCAGCATACAGAGGAAGCGTGGCCCTCTCAACACTACAGAATAGGTATTGACTGACACAGGCCTTGCCCTAGAATGACACTGTCTTATGCATAAAGGATACCTCTATAATACCAACCCAAAGAGTGTCTGAGTGTTTAAGAGCTTGGTTGAATTTGTGCTGACCTGACTTGCTCCTACAGAAGGAAACAACAGAGCCTTCCTCTGATAAAACTTGCAAATAAATGGGATACATTAGGTTTGCTCTATCTTAGCCAATCTTCCCTGTCAACCACCACCATATAGCTCTGCAATAACTTTCTGAAAAGACCTAACAAACCACCCAAGAAGGGAACTTTCAGATGCCTTTTCCCCATTTTGTTGCATTTCTTCTTAGTCTCTCAGTCTAGTGGCTCCTCTCATCCTTCAGAAATATTCAACCACTTCCCACCAAAGGATGTTTTATCCCTTAGTTTCTTTTCCCATATCTCAGTGCCAGACTTCATCTGAATGAGCATCCTTTTTTTTTTATTTCCCTCAGTCATTTGGGACTCCAGAGGATAATGGGCTTAAGTCTCATGACTAAGGGTGAAGGTAAATCTCCCAATAGTTGTTTCTTCCCACCACGGTGATCTCTATGCTATCTAAAATATAAGCACACATTGCAACACAATTATTTTCCTCAGAGACAATCCAATCCAATCCTTTCTCCATGAAATATTCCTTTTCTTAAAAGAATTTTGGCCTTATAGTATCAGAACAGAGATTGCTACTTTCTCTGCCACTTTAAAGAAACAGCACCAACTTTAATTAGAATTTGTCAACTCTGGGTCTCTTTTTATGGGGGTTTGGGATAGCAGGGAATTATATTTTCAGTTTAATCTGCCAAACAAAAGTGCCCAAAGTTTGTTTTACTATTGCTGATTCATATCCCTTTTGTCCATTCATATTTACTGATGTATTGCCCCCCCTCCATTGGTATTCTAAAGGGGGGGGGTTGCCCAAACTCCAGCTGTGCCAAGGTATTTTGGGTCCTTCATTTCCACACCCAGCTTGGATCCTTGATTCTCCAGTGAGCAAGCTATCTATCTCGCGTAGAAGTGACAGTTTCTGACTATGAGACTGGAGGTAGGTGGAGGCGCTGTCTCTGGAGGCCCCAAGACCCCATGACTATAGAATGCAACCACCATATCCAAGAGTAGTTCTGAACTTTGGGAGAACTTGACCAGCCTAACATGCAGAGCGCTCTGCTATTCCAGCTGTTCATGTTACACATTATATGTATGCTGGGCAGCTCAAACTGTGGGCCACCCTAGTCTCCCTGGGGGCTGGTTCTCATCTAAGTCCACTTGCAAGTGCAGCTTGTCATGACTAGTTACCACCTTATCTTTTTTTTCCTAAAAATTCAGTGTTCTTAAAAGAGACTAGTCCGTGTTTGCTGTCTCATTTTCCTTTGTTCATTTTCTTTTTTTTTTTTAAGATTTTTTTTTTTTTTTAATTTGAGAGAGAGAGAATGAGAGAGAGCACATGAGAGGGGGGAGGGTGAGAGGGAGAAGCAGACTCCCCGCCGAGCAGGGAGCCCGATGCGGGACTGATCCAGGGACTCCAGGATCATGACCTGAGCCGAAGGCAGTCGCCTGACCAACTGAGCCACCCAGGCGCCCTCCTTTGTTCATTTTCACTCCTTAATTTGCTGTATTCTAGCTTCTGCCATAGTTATGCACCAGTAACCTCTAGATTTTCAAGTCCAAAGAGCATTTCCTTTTCTGGCCTCTCTCGTCTTCTCTCAGGCAATTGAAATTTTTTTTCTCTCATTGATGTTCATTACTCCATTTTCTTCTGATTCTCCTCACATCACTATTTTTCTATCTTAAAGGTTTTCTCTTTCTACCTCCTTTAAGATAAAAAAAAAAAAAGCTTTAAAAATATATTTAGAAAATGCTAGAAATAATAAAATGGAAACTTAGGTAGCCGCCAGCTAAGTTTTCCCTTTCATGTATTCTTTTTTCATACTGCCATTCTTGTTCCCTCTAAGAAACAAAATCCTTATTTACCCCATTTTGGTCTTTGTATCTCTGAGGGTTCTTAACTTTGGGAATCTTTTCTTCTTACTTCTCGTGGCAGATGAATGCCTGCCAGCATAACATCCATTCTTCTCCCTCTGGTGCATGTTTGCTCAGCCGGAGACTCCTTGTCCTCCTTTACAGCTAGCTATGATTTTGTGGGGACATTCTTGCCAATGGACTATAACTAGAAGTGGTGAGTACAACTTTGGCCTTACATTTGTAAAAGAAGACAGCTTGCCTTGCACCACTTGCCGTCTCCTTCATGGACGTGTCTATGACCATCTGTAACCATGGAGATGAGGAAGACATCCCGGGGCGGGGGGACAACAAGATAGAAGGAATCTGGGTCCTGAATGACCTCATAGAACAGAGTGTCCTGTCAGTCTAGCCCCAACAATTATGTGAGACGGAAAGACACTTTTGTCTTCTTTATTTTCATTTTTCACTTCTTTACTTTCATTTCCACTGCTTTCTGGGGTCTCTATTACAGCAAGTTAGCCTTTACTCTAATACAAAAATTGATACCTGGAGATGGGGGACTTCTAACAAAGTCTTAAAACATATAGCATTACCTAGGTGGTCAGACCCTTGGGAGCGAGGAAACAGCTCTTGCAGGCTGGAAAACTGGTGATTCTTGTAATGCCATTGTAAGATGTTCTGTAAAAATCTCACTACTCAATTTAGAAGACTGACCAGGTTTCTTGTATCACTGAATTTTAGAGGAAGCATTTGGAAAGAACCAGAATAAGAATGTAATTGTTGCTCCCTGGCTAGTTTAGGAAGATTTTTCAAGAAAGAAATGAGCTCACATAAGAAATGATGGGTTTGCAAGGAAAGATGGAAGAAAATACAGTGTATAGAAAATTGGGGCCTCACAGTGTTGGAAAATCCAATTGTTTCTATGGTCCAAACAGGAGAAGACTGTTTTTCAGACACTTAACGCCCACCTATTAAGATTCCTCAGCCAAAAAGATCTAGCCTTGCAGCAAAGGTCAGATTAGTGGTGTTACCCTCACTTAGTTTTTAAAGTTTTACCTCAAAGTAGCCGACATTAAAACAATGAGAAGAGGAAGGAGTAAAGCATAGAAACTAGAGAATAAGAAGGTTTAAGAGCTCGGTCCAGAAAAGAACTTTGGGTATAGTTTCGGTCGCATGTAACAGACTGGAGATGAATAGCATAGATGCTTACAAAGATTTTGAGGAAATTTTATTGCTAAAGAAACCGGAAATCTGACCTGCAAAAGCGAATCATTGTGTCCTCAAGCCATTTCCAGGAAAGCATACACTCCAATTTTCACTTAAATTTTGAACCTGGAGAATAATGGATAAGGAAGAACCTCCTAGAGTGGTAAACCCAGGGGCACTATGGGTATAACCAAACACATCCACATAGGATTTTCATCAGGGAATTTCTTCCATGGCCAGGGCAGGAATTTCTTTCTGGAAAGAAAACTATGAAGGGCTACTGGTCGTTGCGTGTTTCCCATTCTGTCCTTTTGGAAATGGAAGTTTTTATTGTGGTTAATTGTATTCCTGCTCCACCATTGCATATTGGGTTCAGTGTGGGTATCAAGTAACTTCTTTTTAGTTTATAATTATTGGACTATGTGTAGCCACATCTAGACATAACAGAGAAGAACTGTGGGCCACCCTAGTCTCCAAAGTACTTTCCCCAGAGATACTGGACTTTGAGCTGGCTACAGAAACTGGATTGGCCCTCTCCCTTAGAGAGAGAGGTTGAGATACATGGGAAGAAGAGAGCACTCAAACAGTTGGGTAGTCTGAAGGATTGAGTGAACCTCTTTGTTTATCTTTGCCTTAATACATGCAGTCTTCCTGGAGGTTCTGATT